TCTCTATTTCTGAGTGTACCGTTTTAAGAAAAGGACTGTGTTCAAACTACTAAAATCCTTTCCGAGCCACTGGGGCTTATAGGGCAGTTTCTGTAGTGCGAAGCGGATTAGAGTTGTACAAGGGAGTGTTTAAGTAACTCCCTTTTTGTACTCACCCTGGACGGGACACTAGTCCATCGCAGGTTATTCCCCAGCAGTTTGCTGGTACCCATTGATCAGCTGGGTGGACTGAAGCAATGTAGCTATTGCCTTGCCCAAGGACACAAGCGAATCTGCACAGCGGATACTCGAAACCCTGACCTTACGATTGAAAGCCCAAATAAATATTTGCGTATAGAGAGAAAACAATGGGCATACGGATCTGATTTTTTTGATTTTTTTTTAAGCGAACAGATAATCTAAAGACTTTGACAACTGTGGTAAAATCACTCTTCTTGATTAGTCATGCTACTGCATAATGGAATCGTTAAATAGGGTTTTGAGCAAAATCCTGTTCGGAAAAAATTACAGAGATACCGGTAGCTTGGGCCAGGGATAACGCTTGATCCACAAGCGTACTGTCTGCTGTAAAACAATTGAAATCGTAACGAGTCTGTAATCTTGTCAAACTACAGGATATGTAGACCTAATTTTCTTGAAATAACGCAGTATTCAAAAGTTGCAGGTATGACAACACCCATATCACTGATAAAAAATGTCACTAATCTTACCATAGAGAAAATAGAACTGTTCTATTTTGTCTATGATCTTACATCCTTATATCTTTTGCAGCAACTTATTGTACGCGTTCAAGATCCTTAGAGACGCATTGTCCCCGGAAAATGACCAAAAAAAAAGAAAAAAATCATAAAAAGTATTTTTAAAATTAACCTTCTCATTTTGCAGTCACTCATTATTAACTTAAGCATTGAAATTATTGAATTTAAATAATGTGGACATTCCTGGATAATTATAATACAAATAACACACTTCCAGTACCTGCAAGTGCTTCTATCATTTTTTGCAGTAAACCATAGTCCATAGAAAAATACATTGACTATGTGTAAACTTATGGGTAAACATTATTTAAATAGGCCTACACTAATTTCTATGTTCAATTTGTTAATTTTTATGTTATTTCAAAATGAGATAGGATGATCAAAATTTGTACTGATACCACAAAGCATATGCAATGGTCATCACATTGGATCGGCAATTATTTTGTTGTTTTTTTTTGTTTTTTTTTTGGTCCGACAACTTTCAGTGTTGTGACATCAGGTGATGGGGGTCCATCTGTTTGAGGGTGGGGAGGGAATGTTTTCCCCTGATCCTCATTCCATTTTAATAAAATGCTATGTTAGACTTCTCTAAGGTCTCTAAGCATTATTACCCCCGGTCAATGGAACACATATACTTCTGGGGAGAATTCCATAAATTTGCAACCAGCTACCAGGTACTCATTTGTATTCCTGGGTGGAGAGAAACAAGCGTAGTGAAGTGCAAAGCGAAGGATTGAACCTCCGACTTCTAGGTTGAGAAGTGGAACCACAACCGCTGCGACAAACCGCACCATTCTGCTTTATATTAGTTTAATAATGTTTATGATATATTGCGGTTACATGGTTATTGAATTTTTCTATAAATATTCATTTTGATTCTCAGCAACCTGTCCAGTGACTCTTTACTCACGTCGTGGGCCTTCATACCTTTTACCGTGTTGTTTTGTTTTTTTTAGGCCACTGACCCACTGAATATCTCCAGGATATGGCATTTGTCACAAATACGCATTGCTTATATATTTCTTTATTCTTTTAGACATTTTGATACGCTAATTGCCTGTGGTTTAATATAATCATCGTTCAATAGGCACAATCTTAATAACTAGGATTTAGTAATCTAGGTTTAATATAAAATAATTTTTCCCCCGATGTAAATACGTCATCAAATTACTCAGATCCTTGATGTAATTTAAGTTTATTCGTTTATTTATTTTTTTTTGTTTGCTAGGATTATATAGTATAATTAGTCTTATTTTGCTCTGTGATTGGAGGATAAGGCAAATATGGTAGAATAAAAATCTTTATATAAACGCGATGAGATAAAAAATTCTTTATTCATTGCCGACTATCACCAAGCTTGAAACATGAAGTTTATCGTGGGATTTTTCATCACCATTATGGTGTTAATTTATTCGAGAACTAACCAGGCCTGCATCGTCTTACCGTCGCAACCTTTCCCTGGACCACCGCCTGATCCTGACAGTACACCAACTGCATCACATGAAACAACATCACTAGAAGGAACACAGCCACCAACAAGAAGAGGAACACGAAGACCAACACCAATAACAACACGACTACCTCCTCAAGAAACACCTCCTCCTCCTACTTGTTCGGACATTCCTCCAGCCGATTCTAAAGATGATTCGGCTCCCCTTTTCGGAACCATTGTGTTCGACGAGATCTGTAATTACATCGTTGTACTTCACGTAAGTTTCAATTAGCCAGAAATATAATTATTTTATTTGATTATTGTTGTCATGGAGATATTAAAATATGTATACATAGGTGTTGTTAGCGTTAAATAGATTTTGGTCAGAAAGTACAAGATGTTTAAATTTATTTCTGTTAAAACATTTATTGTATCGTATCACTTTTGTATTTAGGCAACTTTTTTTCGAAAAAAAACCAACTTATCTACTTTCTTGAACAGGATGGTGTGGACCCTGAAGAAATGAAGTTATAATTAGCAATTTGACGTCATCAAATGGCACCGCATCATCATCAATGAGGGCGTTGAACTCATCTTATGGCATCAAAGCAGTTATTTCCGAATTTGACTACGAACAGCTAACCATGGTAGGACCGATTTTTTGACCTAAACTAGCATTCTGTCACACGACATCATTATTTTTTGTTTCGATAATACGAAACATCAAAACAGGTTAAAAATGATTTCCATAAAATCGCTACACTGTTGATTGCGTTTTCACTGCAATCGTTACGCTACTTAACTACGCAACCGGGAAGGACCCCCGATTTGGTCAACGAATCAGCTTCACGGAATGCATTGTGTAACGATTTTTTTTTTACAGAAACCAGGCTTTATATTATTATGGCATATTGACATGCCTAGATATGGTCATGATGACATCACATCATGACCATGTAGGCACATCATGACTAAATATGGGCATACAACAGGTTTTTTTTGTCAAAGAAAATTTTATAGTGTGGAGAGCTCATAAATTTTCATTATTCGAGAAGTGCGCTTAGCGGAAAATAAATCACGTTTTGTGTAGCGCTTATTCAAAAGAAAGATAGGCCTAGATGACAAACTGTATTTGTATCTTCAGTAGATAATTATTACATTTTCAGCACCATTTACATCTGAAGAAATCTCATTATCTTTGTTTCTTTTCTGTGCTTGCTTAAGGTTCGGAAACTGGAAGGTGTGAGGTACGTGGAAAAAGACGGACAAGTAAACCTGACAGCGAACACGCTTGTATGGGGCCTAGATCGTATAGATCAGAGAAGACGTCCTTACGATTATATGTATTCTCCGAATGGTAGGCCTAGGTTTAAATTGAAGGCATCTTTACATTCTAATTAAGTTCAATTATCAAAATTCTATTAGTTGAAACGGGGTATAAGAATGTGTGTGAGCGAATATAATGGTCCTACTGCTGTAACTATTCGCTTACATCAGGGGTGGCGCCAGGTTTTACCCGACGGGGAGCCGAGGTCCCAGACGGGGGGGGGGGGCAGTGCCCCGATGAGGGGTCAGATTTCCCCGACGAAAGCAAAGTGGGCGTGGTCGAGCTTCGGTTAAAAGGTTCCGGAAAGTGGTCCTGGTGGTCCGAAAATTTTGACAATTTAGGAGTTTCAAAAGAGTCTACTAATATGTAAAAAATACATATAATTTTTTTTTCTCCCCGACGAATTGTGCTTTTTCTCCCCGACCGGGGGGGGGGGCAGCTCTCCCCGACGGGGGGGGGGCTCGCCCCCACCCCCGCTGGCGCCACCCCTGGCTTATATTATTTACATATTATTAATCGATTTTGTTATCTCAAAAGGGAACGGGGCCGGTTCCACTGTGTACGTGCTTGATACGGGAGTAAAGACAGATCACGTGAATTTTGGAGGTAGAGCAGAGAACTGGCACGAAGTTGTAAAGGTGCCCGGTGTAAGTTGAAAGTGTTTGGTTCTTTTGTTATTTGGGGTCATCATCGCTGTTGCCAGTCGGTTGACGGTATATTTTGCTTTGTCTTTGCATCATTCTCTGTATCTTTTGCGCTGCTTTCCCATGTTTCTTTTGTTTTCATTACACTTATTGTCCCAAGCTCTTACTGATCTTCTGCCAATATGACCTGTCCACTATAGTAGCGGATTCAAATGTGGCCCAGCCGGACCGGGCCCCTCTAAATTTTTAAAAATTATAAAATAATGGGGAAAAGAAGAAAATTTTATTCAACTTTAAGTCTGTGAGTGCCGTTTCGGGCCATCTAGAAGTGCCATAATTTTCTTACCTCAACCTCAACCATGGTGGGGCTGAGGTAGTATTGATACTCTATCTATGAAAGTCCTCTATTTCGAATTCCTGGATCCGCTACGGCAATACCAGTTAATCATGAGTTTAATTTCCTAGAATCCTGAATTCTGATGCGTTTACTTTTCGTTCTCTCTCCATGTAATACAGAAGGGTTAATAATAATGAGCTCTCTATTCTAACTTTAATTCGGAAGAATGATAATATATTTCATAATCGTAATATAAACGGGACTATAAATATAAACGGGATTTTTATAGGCTTTTCGATTTGTTATTTGCCAACTCAGTACAACTCGTGTATAACCTGTTTTGCTTTCATATAATTATGTTAATATGATTATTATTTTTTTTTTCTTGAAGGAGCCCGAAGATTGCAATGGGCACGGTACACACGTTGCCGGTACGGTTGGTGCTATGACGTATGGTGTTGCCACGGGAGTTAAAATACGCAGTGTTCGAGTATTCGGATGCGGTATCACAACTACCATTGCAGCCGTAGTGGAAGGTTTGTAATATATCTTGAATTTTTAGGCTCACATTATCTGTTTATGCATGTGTAACACCTCACGTGATTCTTCTTTTGTGAACAGTACAGTTTCAGAACACCCTCTGACAGATTGAAATGCGCTATAGGCCTAAACGGACGTAAAGCCCTGTCCAAAATATCAAATTTTATTGGACGAAAACAAGCCTAAATATGGTCATGATGACATCACATAATGACCATAAATAGATAAAAAGCAAACAAGAAAATAAGACAAATTCAGTTCCTCACGATTTTGAAAAATGAATAATTGTTTTCTGTTTAGGAATTAATTTTGTGCGGGATCGTGGAGATAAAACTCGTGCCGTGGTTTCGATGTCTCTCGGTGCACCCAAAAGTGTCGTCATTGACGAAGCCACAACCAATCTGATAAATGCTGGGTTCATTGTAGTCGTCTCCGCAGGAAACGAAGATATAGATGTTTGCGAACGATCGCCAGCAAGAGTACCTAAGGTTGGTAAATTTCGGTTGACCAATGCCCAATCAGTGGTTATGAATAAACACATTATTATTTATATACCAGATAGTGCTTTTCATATTGCTGTATAGTAAAGTAACAAAGTGCCGCTTTCGATACCGTATTATTCCCCTCTGATATACACGTAGCTATATAATTCGATGATTCATACCGTATATACTTTTATTTTTTGTTGAACATTTATTAAAGAGATGATGATTAGCTTTTCTGAGAATACCGTATGTACCATTGTTGCACCGATATTATTATTATTATTATTATTATTATTATTATTATTATTATTATTATTATTATTATTATTATTATTATTATTATTATTATTATTATTATTATTATTATTATTATTATTATTTATTATTCTTGTTATTATCTTGTAAATTAAATTGTAAATCTAAGTTTTGAATAAGTAATTTGTAAATAAAGAAGTAAAAATCTATAAATTATTTTGATTTTCTTTTCAAATTGAATTCTAATGTTTAAATGTGCAGTTGACTAATGCCATTGATAAGGACGCGCTCGGAACTGAAAATAATAACGGCTTCTGTAAATTCTAATTTTGAATACGGTATTAACTATTACTATTATTATTATAATAGGCCTAGGCCTATATATTATTATTATCATTTATTATCATTATTATTATAATTATTAATTATTATTACAGGCTATTACAGTGGGAGCAACAGACATATTGGATAACAGATGGTCATTTTCTAACTTTGGAGACGGCCTAAATATTTTTGCTCCGGGTGTAGAAGTTGAATCACTTAGTTACACTTCATCTACTGGCACAAGGTATTTAAGCGGTACATCAATGGCAGCGCCACATGTCTCAGGTAAGAACTACCAGAACATAGCCTTATTATAATGTTCTCATTAGTGCACAGGACGGTAGTTGGCGCTGCGGAGAACATTTAATATAAAATGCCCTTTTTACCAATCCCTACGAAAGCCTATGCGTGCCACTTAAGTATATAAAATCATCAAAATGTAATCCGAAATAACGGATTAGTAATCCGTTATTTCGAATTAGTAACTCGTTATTTCGGATTACTAATCCGAAATTTCGAATTAGTAATTCGTTATTTCGAATTAAGTAATTCGTTATTTCGAATTAGTAATTCCTTTTTTCGGATTACTAATCCGAAATAACGAATTACTAATTCGAAATTTCGGATTAGTAATTCGTTATTTCGGATTACTAATCCGAAATTTCGAATTAGTAATTCGTTATTTCAAATTAGTAATCCGTTATTTCGGATTACTAATCCGAAATTTCGAATTAAGTAATTCGTTATTTCGAATTAGTAATTCGTTTTTTCGGATTAATAATCCGAAATAACGAATTACTAATTCGAAATTTCGGATTAGTAATTCGTTATTTCGGATTACTAATCCGAAATTTCGAATTAGTAATTCGTTATTTCGAGTTAGTAATTCGTTATTTCGGATTACTAATTCGTTATTTCGAGTTAGTAATTCGTTATTTCGAATTACTAACTCGAAATAACGAATTACTAATTCGAAATTTCGGATTAGTAATCCGAAATAACGAATTACTAACTCGAAATAACGAATTAATCAGAAGCGAGGACGTAGGCCTAGGCCTAGAGAGAGAGAGTTGGGACGCGATAACGTCTTGCCCCAGTTTTCACACGTTTCACTCGGTTTCAGTAATTTTGAAAGGAACACATGAATCATGCTGTCATAATAGCGTTGTTACAAATAAAAAGAACTAACATAATTGTCCATTTAATATTGGCATGTACTTAATAATCTATTCATTACCGTATTTACTACAGTGAGAAAAGAAAGAAAAAGCAGTATTTACACAGGATCTCAATAAATAGCTATTAGTATGGTGATTATGTCTTGCTGAGCTATACTGGAAAAAAAGTATAGTTTATCATAAATTATAGTGTACTGTATAATGTCTGTTTTTGCATTATTAATAAAAAATATTTTCATTAAAATCGAGACAGCTGAAAATAATTATAGGCCTATGTTTTTCTTTAATTTTTTTTATGTTTCGAGTTAGTAATTCGTTATTTCGAATTAAGTAATTCGTTATTTCGAATTAGTAATTCGTTATTTCGATTAGTAATCCGAAATAACGAATTACTAATTCGAAATTTCGGATTAGTAATCCGAAATAACGAATTACTAATTCGAAATAACGAATCACTTAATTCGAAATTTCGGATTAGTAATCCGAAATAACGGATTACGAATTCGAAATAACGAATTACTAATTCGAAATTTCGGATTAGTAATCCGAAATAACGAGTTACTAATTCGAAATAACGGATTACTAATCCGTTATTTCGGATTACTAATCCGAAATTTCGGATTACATTTTGATGATTTTATATACTTAAGTGGCACGAATAGGCTTTCGTAAATCCCCGTTTAGAAAAAAAAGTTTTCTATAAAATGTACGTCTATAATTTAGAGAAATTCATTAATTAGATTGGACTTCAGTGTGGCAGCTTCACTGCAATATAGGAATGTTGGTATACTCTCTTTCGTCAATGCATTTGGAAAATTAAACATCCTTATTTCGGCATTCTATGATGACCTGTGACGTACTGTCCAGATTATCAAATTTTATTTGATAAAAATATGTGATGATGCCTAAAATGGTCATGATGACATCACATCATGACCATATATGGATATGAATATGCCCTCTTGTATTTTCTCCTGCTCATTACTATGTCACACTCGTGATTAGGTTAAATGTCACTTGTCATGCGCAGTTGATGCTAAGAGGAGAACTTACTCAAAATTAGTTTTTATGTGAATCCGGACAATGACTTTAACTGATAATAATTATAATTTCTTTTTTATTTCCAATACAGGAGTGGCTGCTATATTACTTTCACAGGGTACTCCGGCAAACAAAGTCGCTCAGAAGATCTATGACACCTCCACTAAAAATGTTGTTGGTGATCCTAAAGGATCCAATAATCGCCTACTATACGTCGATTAATCACGTTACCGTATTAAACCAATCAGAAAATTAATATTTATAATAATAAAAAAAAAGCGACCATGGACAGCATGTGAACCAAAACGCGATTAAGTGTATATTGGGTCATGTAAAAATGTGTTGATTTTCCTTTTTTTTTCAAACAGAGGTTTTCAGACTTAAAAACAAAATGTTCATCTATCAGACAAAAACTGCATCGTACTTCAACAAGTCAATAAATGATGCAACAAAATCTTTCTAAGCTCTTCTAAAAACTTCACTACCCTAGCTTTCTAAGCTCTCCAAATAGAGGATATAGTTGAAATAAGTGTGAATCAGATATTTGTGCGTTTTTCTGAGAGAGAGGACACACTTTTTATATGACCTTATAATACCTGTATAAATATTTTGGAAATGTATTAAAAATTACTTATAAATAGTAATTATAATAGTGTATGTGCAAAAAACGCAAGTATTGAAAAATTAAAAAGAGTAAGTTATCCTCACAAGAAAGAAAACTATGACTTAATTTTAATATAAGTGCAAGTAGAATTTGGTATTGTACTATTATAGTGTATTGATGAATAAAAGTGACGACGTAGGCCTACCACAAAAGGGAAAAATAATGTATTTGAATTGCTAATTTGAATCTCTAGATGCACCTTAGGGGTATGGCGTCTTTTTCAGAAGGGAATGATAATTGAAAGAAACCATCACCGAAAATTTTTTTTTTTCGCATTCACGTGAAGTGCTCCAAAATGGTATTGAATTGTGGCGTCGGGTGGCCGAGTGGTAAGGCCAAAGAGGCACAGAGGAGCCACTCCTCGTCCAGGGGTTCGTGGTTAAGCCAAGTCTCCTTGGATAAAGATTTGAAACCGGTGGTCGAATGTGCACATCTGGCTCGTGTGAACTTTAAAGAACCCATTGCATCCCTCGGAAGAGTAGGGGGCTACATTTCATTCAGCTCCTGTCGTGTGGAACAATGTGATAATTAAGCTACTGAGCACCTCCCAGTGCCGCAATACTACTCTATGTATACTGGTACGGTACCATATTCATGGGTGAACCTAGACGACAAATCTTCCCCAGACTTGTTTCTCTCATTAGACCAACGTACTCTACCGTTCATGGTCACAGGGCACATGCACTGTAAAATGCTTCTGGTTTTTAGTTGCATCAACCCATTAAATAATCTCCAGGGTGACTGAGATTTGTAACTAATTGTTATGGTGTTTAATATTCGTTTAGACAAAAGCTTAACTTGGATTTGGTACTATGGTTTTCTTTTAGTTTCAATTTATTAAGTTCATTACTTGGATTACATGCATGTATGCACTGCCAAAGCTATCGTACACTTTTATTGTTGGTGGATAAGAAAATTGTTGGTTCCAAAATATTTAAATTCGTTGTAATAAAATTTGTAATCATTGCTGACTGTTACGAAGACTGAATCATGAAGAAATTTATACTGGGAGTTTTTATCACCGTTATGGTGATACTTTATACGACACCTTGCCAGGCCTGCAGAAGGCCAGAGCCTGATCCTGTAACCGAACCAACAAAACCAACACGAGGACCATCAGAAAGAACACTATGGCCAAAGCCACCAAGAACAATAATATGGCCACAGCCACCAGAAGAAACAAAATCACCACCGCCACCAGATGGTACAGGACCACCACCGCTACCATAATTTTGGGCGGTAGATGAATGGCAGCATCTTATACCTCAGCTAAGAACTACGGTACCAAACAATATAGCATTTATTTACTATCAATTTCTCCCTGAAGTCAGTGCTGATGGGCATTACCGTAGGCCTACCTACGCAGCAAAATAAAATTAAATATGTTAAGAAAGCTCATTTAACCAGATCTCCCGGAGGAATTCCTTTCTACCCCTGCAGCAATGTGAATCGAATTATGCCAGAGGTTGATGAGAATATGCTAGATCAAATGATGAAATAATATGCTAGATCATTATGCCAAATTTTGATTGAAGAGATACAAGTACCAGTGGCGTACCCCTTCCTCCCAAAATACTCGCAGCTCCCCACCCCCATCCCCACCAAGTCACTCCAAAAAGTAATTAAAATCCCCTCATATCACATTATATTGCGAGCAGCGCCCCTCATCTAATTAGCTATCTCCCTCTTCACCTTCGCACCCCACCCCATCATCCCCCATTTCAAGACTCTTATATTATAGGGCACTGACGGGTACAAAGCAAATTTAGGCCTAGGTGAGGATAGGGGAGGGGAATGCTAACTTTTAATATGAAATCGTTCAATATAGCGTACAAACCCCTTTTTATTTTTAAAACAACTTGATCAGAAGTCTACAAAAAAAGAGGAATTGTTATAACCCCTAGAATTTCAGTGATGGAACGAAAGTTCAAGGCTCTAGCAGGCCGGAAAAGGCACTCTCAAACAAAAATTTAATGTCATTTTAATTTTTCCCGACATTGCTTTTAATTTTCAAAAATTTAGGTGGAGATAATTTGATTGTCTAATAAAACGCAAAGGCACCAAGGCCATGGTAAGGGTTCAGGGGTGAAGCCTGCTCCATTTTCAGGATTTTAGAAATTCTAATATTCGATTTAATAGAGACACGGTGTATCAACAAATGCAATACAAAAGAGAAAGTTTTAATATTTAGCATACAAAGCTAATAGTGAATTGACAGAACAAAAAGAACTCGGAGAATCGTGCCACCGAAGTCTATTTCGCTCTACTATATTTTGTTCCATTCACTATATTTTGTAATACGTCAATAGCATTTGTAGTTAATTTTAAAACGTTGTCCCCATACCTTTAATACGGTAAAACATCTTTGTATTTGTATAGCATTTGTTGATACAGAATGTCTATGAAATCGGATATTAGAATATTAAGTTTCAAAATCAAGTATACTGTACACAGTGGCGTATCTAGGGGTGCGCAAGGGGGGGGGGGCTCCAAAAATTTCTCGCTGCCCCCACCCCAAAACAAATCACGGTCAAGTACTTAAAAAAATCACCTTATTTTGCGAATTAGCGCCCCTCTACTGACCATCAATCCCCCAGTTCACCTTCGTGCCCCCCCCCCAGCACCCCGTTTTAAGAATTCTAGATACGACACTGAGTATACACAGCTACCGAATTTACAGAACAAAAAGAAGTTCGTAAAAAATCGTACCACCAAATTCCTTTTCGCTGTGTTTTGTTTTATTCTTTTTTTTTTTTTTGTAATGCGTCAATAGTATTTGTACCTAATTTTAAAACGTTGTCTCCATTCATTAATTAATAAATCGTTGTATTTGTATAGCATTTGTTGATACACAATCAGGCGCGGATCCAGACCTTCGCTCAGTTTACCCAGGTGATCAGGTCAGGGTGAGAAATAAAACAAAAAAATGCTGACCATTTTTCAAGCAATTATACTTGCTTTCCTTGACACTTATTTTGAACAATAAATCCACACTAACCTATATCTTACACTTTTACACTAAATGTACTTTAAACCCTACCAGAGAGTTACATTCCCATTACATTATGGTCTTCCATTTCTATAGCGCATGATACAGTGCATGACAAACGTTACGTAACCACTACTAATTCGGAGTCACTCAGCTCAGTCGTACATGTGTCTATGTTGGCATTGACACAATGTGTTTTTAACATTGTTCTGAAGTAATAACCTATCAGAGATTCACATGAACAACAAAACGAATGAAATATATTTGGCTTAACTATTGTTTTCAGCAACAATGGTGTATCCAGGACTTAAGGAAGGGGGAATGCTGATGAAATGGGAGTCCATACCACGTCAGCGAACATCGTGGTTGGCGGGGACACGAAAATGTCATACCTCTGGATGCCCAGAAATGGAACTTAAATTATTTTCTAATTCTTTTTATTTTTGATGAATTGAGTAAAAAAAGACGAATTAATTAACCCGAAAATGGCACTTCCATACTTACAATTCTAAAAACTACAATCAGGTGAGAAAATTTTGAGAATCTACCTGAGCCCCACCATGGTTTTGGGAACACTCTTTGGCAGTCAACTCGCCCCTAGAAAACCCGCCCATGGAAACTTGCCCCATAAAAAAATGCACACTTCCTAGACCATGCAGTCTTCAAAATAAAAATTGTAACCTTTGGTAATTAACACATTTTCCACATACATAGAAATTTTTGAAACTTTATTAAAAAAAAACCTAAACCATAATTCACCACTATAGACACTTTTTGACAAAAATGAAAA